TTTTAGATGCGCACACGCCACATTTGGAGACCCCCAATTTTTATAAGTAATTTGAGTCACTTTTTTGCTATAATCATTCTCTGGTTGACTGGTGGATCACCAATTAAATATTTTAACAATTATTATCAAATTTAATAATTTTTTTATTTTAATTCTTTATAATTTCAAAATTAAAATAAAAAAATTTTGAGCAAATTTGATTAATTAGTTATTGAGATATTTTAAATTAAAATTAAAAAAATTTTACTAAAAATAATTTGTCTCTTTTCTATTAACATTACTTTATATATATATATATATATAAAGGGAGTCAATAAAAAAGAGACAAATTGTTTTTATTGAACTTTTTTTAATTTTTAAATTAAAATATCTCAACAACTAATTAATCAAATTTGCTAAAAAATTTTTTATTTTAATTTTGAAATTATATAAAATTAAAATAAAAAAAAATTTATTAAATTTAATAAAATAATTGCCAAGATATTTAAGCCTAAAGTCAAGAAAAAAAATTTGTCCTTTTTCTATTAACTCACCCTTATATATTTAATAATCATATCACAATTTTATACTTTATTGATGATAAATTATACTTCTAAATATAAATATTACATTATGCTTTTAACAACAAAAAAATACAAAATGTAGCTTATCTAGTTACTATAAAATACCTAAATACTTGAGTATCTATATGCAATTTGCCAAAGATAATTCAATCTTACTAGTTTGGTTTAGTCTACCTCAAATAGAACCACTCAGATTACCAATCTGGTTTATTAACCTATAATAATTGCCTTCTTTTCCAACCTTCCTCTTCTAGCCTTCTAAATGGAAAAATTCTACTAAAAACAATAAAAAATTTAAGAAATAAAAGAGATTATTAAAAGATAAAAAATTCTAAACTATAAAAAAACAAAAAAAACAAACAAAATAAAAACAGAAAAAAGAAAAAAAAGACTGCAAACCAAAAAAATTATATTCAAACTTTTTCTGACAATCACTTATACCAAAAATTTCCAAATGAATTTCCAAATGAATTTTTTAATAAAAAACACAACAAAACTTAGTAAAAACCACGTGGAATAGGATCACAAATCCGCAGGTTTCTTAATTTTTTGTGTTTAATAAAAAATCATTTTAAATTTCTTGTTCTACCGTAAATTTTCGAAATAGAAGCATAGACATTATTTCGAATTTCAGCCTGAATTAAGCTTAATTTGGGCAAAATTCAAAATAACGCCTATTTCGAGAATTTACGATAAATATGTTAATGCAGGCCAGATATTAGATTAATGCCAGCCAGATGATATGGTAATGCCGGCCAGATAATTTATCTGCGTGGGCTCTAAAAAAATCTCGCGCATCACACATGGGATTATGCGTGGATCCCGCATGTGCCCATCTTTAGCTATTAGGCCGATATGTATTTAACACCTATATGAACCCGATTAGTTTCTAAAGGTCTCCTATTTCCGCCAAATATCTGTTTCATATTGGGATAATGTTATGCCGGTTGGAGCCTGACTTGCCTTCATTCGACCTGTGCAAACTAGATAAATCAAGTAGAAGAACAAAAAGATAAATCTAATGTTTAAAAATGTATTTAAGTAATAATTCAGTATCTGGTTCTTAATTTTTTTATGAAATATAAGAATGCTATTTAATGTTGATTTTTTCCCTTAACTATCACTTATTGGTTAATATTTTTATTGTGTATATTTTCTAATTATTCTGATTTTGTAAAACCACCTGTTGAATTTGATACAAATCTATAATGAAATTAAAGAGCAGTGACACCAACAGGGACCATGATAATATACCCAACTGTGGAAGGGGATCCTCCGACAATAGGCGGGTTCCAAAATACTTCTTGTGTCGTGATATTAACTTGATAATTAATAAGACCTGGTCCTGTGCAAGCAGTAGGAGCACCAACGTCTGCGACGTTTTTTTTTTTTTCAATTTTTAAGTTTTCGTCAATTTTTCTGGCTGTTTCAGCCATTTGGTTGGTGACGTTTTTGATTTCATCAGTGTGATAATCGAGAGCACCGAAGTTCCACTATAAAAAATTTGGTTAGTTTATATTATATATTAGATATTTGCCATTTAAATTGATTGCAAGGACATCAATAACGTGCTAATCATACCTCTTCGTAATATACTCCTAGCTGTCCTGTTACTGCTATGTGCCTTCCTGGTATTGGTGTTGCCTGACGTGTCCAGAGTCTGACCTAAGATCAGAAACAAAATTTTCAAAATCATTGAATAATAAATATGCTGTAACACATACAATCATACACCAATCCAACTGTCCGTTCGCATTTCGTGTAGCTTTTGGGTCGTAAATCTTAACTCCAAATACGCATCTTATTGCATTCCAATTCCCATACCTTTGGGACACTGCAATTTTGCACAATATTCGTGCATGTGGTCTTCCCTATATAATTAATTTATGATAAGGCTAGGGAAATTAAGAACAAATCTAATATATAGAGATGGGCACGCGCGTAATCCCGGGCGTGATGCGCGGAATTTTTAATTTTACCCCAAATAAAATCATCTGGCCGGCATTAACACATCATCTGACTGGCACTAATATAATATTTTAACATATTTACCGTAAATACTTGAAATAGCAGGGCTGTAAGTTGTAAATTAAGTTATAAAATGCTCATTTGAAGATTACTTTCATAAATAACCTACAGTAATTTTACAACCCTGGGCATGGGCGTTATTTCGAATTTTGGCCCGCATTAAGCTTAATTCTGGTCGAATTTTGAATAACGCCCATGCCGCTATTTCGAAAATTTACGAAAATTGACTTTCGACAAAAATTTCTGCATAGTTTTTTATTAGACACAAAAAATTGAGAAACCCGCAGATTTGTGATCCTATCTCGCGCATCACGCGTGGGATTTTCGGAGAACCGCGATTTGCCCATTTCTACTGATATATACAGAACTAACCGATTTGTCAACCGGAGGAATCTCACAATGTCGAGAAGGGGTTCTACGAATAAAACTTAGTCCATGTTGTGGAGGTGATGATGGAATTGGAGGCTTTGGAATAATGTTCAAACTTGGGTATATAGCAATATCAGGTACCGATGGTTTCCTTCCTCCACGTGGTTGATAGTGAGCTATTATAGAACTTGAGAAGATTATAAAGCTAATAACAAGCCTAAGCAACCAAATGAATTTTTCTTGCCTAAAGCACCCACAACGTCTATCGGTGGATTATCGGTAACACCTCCATTGGGAACGTCAAAATATTTTTGAAGCCGTACAACAACAAATCCATGTTCTGCTTTTCCTATTTCAACTATAAATACGTTCCCCATTGGGTCGATGTCAAATTTATATCCGCATGTTTCATTGCGTTCAAAGAAAGTATCGATCTTTTCCACCAACAAATTCCAACCTATCTGTATAGGTAAACTATCATACGTGTCAATACTAGGTGAAACTTAATTATCTGTGTAGTGCTCACTCACCTTTTCTCTCTTGGAGACTTTTTTACACTCTGGAAATTCCTTTCTAGGGGCAGAATTCGATTGATCATTTTTGAAAAAGGTATCGTCATTGATTGTATTTTTCATTAGTTTACTACGTTACAATAATCACATGACAAGTTTAAAATGTGATTTTTTCGAAATCACGTAATTGCCCAATGCCCTTGAGGGATTCCATATATGCACGCACATCTTTTTCTTGCATTTGTCATCCCACTAATTGACAAACAACTTCAGTAAGTAAATACCAAATGCAAGTAGAACAATAACTTTCATTCAATGATAAGACTAGCGCTTATAAAGACCAATTTTGTTGAGCATGCTAAATTTTACGAGACAGCAGGAGCATTGGTCACATTTAAAAAAAAAAAATAAAAAACAAAACATCCACGATTTTATGCAAGACAAAATAAATTGAAGGATTTTAATATTTTTGCATATATTATACAATTTTTTTTTTTTAAACCAAATTGTGTCTAATCTAGGCTCTATAACAGTAGAATCATCATTCATAATAAATGACAATTGTTATTATTATGATCTTTCAAACCATAACTTAACGGTTCTATCATTTCCGATTGCACCGGATGCAATGATATCCTTGGTTGGATGGCATGCGATGGTAAGAACGACATCTAAACGCAATGCCGAAACAATATGAACATTCATATGCTAATTTCATCAAAACATTCTTCACGAATTATTATGTAGACTTACCAGAATGGCCCACCAATTTTTGTACAATTTCCTTAGTTTGTAAATTCCAAATGTAAATGCTATTATCTTCGCTTCCGCTTACGATCCATTTTCCACCCGTAACAGAAAAACTCGAAAAGATGCAATATTTATTATTTGTATGGCCGACATACGTTTTCAAGCATTTCCCAGAATGAAAGTTCCAAAGACGTAAAGTGTTGTCAAGTGTTGAAGCAAGAATATATTTACCATTAGGCGAGAATTTAACGAATGATCTAGGAAAAAAAAAACGTAGGTGAACCTACAATGTATACATAAATTTACACATCAAGGAAGTAGAAATTTCGTTAACTAACACAGGAGGGTTGTCATCATCCACCAAAGTTTTTAAGCATTGACCCGTTGCAGTGTCCCAAATACGGCTGTAAAAATCCAAAACTCAGATCATCAAAGAAGTAATGAGATATTCTTTATTGCACTAAAATTTCTTACATTAGGCCATCATAACTACACGATACAATCATTGTTCCATCTCGGTTGAAGTGAACAGCAGAAACTGGGTCGGAATGAGCAGGTAAGGTTTTCAAACATTTGCCTACCATATAAATAAATAAATTAATAAAATAACATGATCAACTTATTACATAGTATGATTTGCATAGTCATCATACCATTTCTGGCATCCCAGATTCTCACACTTTCGTCAAAAGAACCTGATACGATCAAACTTGACTGTGGATTGTAATTAACGCAGAAGACATAGTTCGAGTGTCCTTTGAGAACTTTTACGGATTCGTTCTGTAATATATGCGATCATGTTGAAGATATTGTGTCACAATAATTTAACAGTGATGAAATTATTAGTTACCTGATTCAAATGCCATATTCGTATCGTTGTATCATCTGAAGCTGAGCATAAGGACATAGAATCAAGAGCCCATGCCACGTCTGATATACCTTGTGTATGGCCATTAAAAGTTCTTTCATATCTGCCATCATTTGCATTCCAGATTTTTATTGTTTTATCAGCAGCTATAAATTAGACAAGTATGAAAATGTTAAAAATCGTCAAAATGTTTGAATCAGCTTTGTAAAAACAAAACAACAAAAATGAAAGTTTTAGAAAAGAATATTAATGCTTACATGCACTTGCTAACCACTTTCCGTCGGGAGAGAACTTGACACTAGAAACCGCTTTTTTATGTCCGACCAAACTGTATTTCAATTGATAATTTGGTGTTTTTGGACTCTGAGGTGGAGAAATATCCTGTTGCGAAGTATCATTTGTCACAGAACTAAAAGCACCGTTACTATTTCCATTGACGGGTAACGAATCGCGTTCCTGATCTTGGTTAATAGGCGAGTGTTCTTGAGAATTTGATTCGGCCATATTATCATCGCTTGTAAGGTTTATGTATATTTAATTTACGTACCGTACAAAATATTTTTTTTTTTTTTTTTTTTGAGAAAAAAAATTTTCAAGATCAAATCACGTGCATTAATCTGTATTACGTATCACACAAAAAAACAAATAAACTCAACATACTTTGCTATTCTGCGTTAGCGTCAGTCATATAAATCCGGATTCGGGATCCAGTGATTGGATTCGGATAATTTGGTATTATTCGAATCGTGTTCGAATAACACCAGATTATCCGAATCCAATCATTTAATCCACGTATAAAAAGAGGTCACTATTTGATTATATTCAAGAATATCTTTGATCGTGTTTAACACAAAGGTTATCGTTGCAATTTTAATACAAGATTATATCTTGATGTTTTCTTGGTACTCATCAAGAATTTTTTTGGCCATTTATAGTTATAACTAGCAAAACAGTGACATCTTATAGGCTGGAGCCTTAATTATCATTTCGATTTCTTATTAAATAAAAAAAACGGTAATTTAATAATTTAAATCGTGTGCTTAGGGTTCCAAACCGGTCTGAAAATCTCTACCCGTGACCTGTCGGGTCAACCGTTTTTTAAACCGGATACCCGAAACTAAAACCGGCTACCCGATTATCTAAGAAATTTATTGCCGAAATTTTCATATGCATTTAACTAAGAAAAAAAAAAATCCTTACTATAATATATTCATAGTAAAACAATTATATCGAATATTCATTGATATTCGAATATACTACCGTATTTCGCCATGGAGAGTACCCGGGGTCTCTTACAATCTACACAGGTTTTTTTTGATTTATACCCCCCGGGTATACTGTATAGAGGAGGGTATACTACTAGGGCTGTAAAAAATATTATACGGTATAATAACATTGGTTAATATACCGTATAATAACCGTTATTATACCATCAATTTTTGG